AAATTTCCCTATGGATTAGATCAGGGCAAGCTCAGTCAGGTCCAAATACATAGATTTTTGCTGTTTCCATTTCAGAAAATAAATAAATTGGGACAGAGGAACAAGATTAGGATGTAGTGGTATAATGTTATTAGACATGAACAGAATTTCTTCTGAGCAAACTGTTTTTCTTAACCTGTTTCTTATTTTTCTTTTTTTTCTCTCTATGCTTAAAAATGCATACTAGGCCTCCAGTTCAAGATTCCAATTTTTTTCCAAATTTCAATTGAGTTGTCTTTAATTTTGTTGAAGCTCTCTGTCTTCAAGCAGATATAAGTTAGAGCCCATAAAATGACATTGCTAGGACATTACCATACTGAGCATCCATCAAAGATCAAATTGAAAACGATTGATTTTATCTTACTGATAGATTTCACTAATGATAGATTGAAATGATTTTTATTTTCAACATAAGAAAAAGAACACATCACAGGTACATCACAATTGAAACCCCCACCCCACCCCCCACCCGGACTTCCCAAACCTGATCCCAGGATATTATTCATCTAAAAGTAACCTTATATTAATATCCCTAACTCCACAAAATATAATTCTACACAAGTAGGTGAAATATATATATATATATAAAAAGAAAAAGTTTTTTTTATCTAAAAACCTAACCTATATTCCACCATTCTATGCTTATTTTGAATATAAACAATCCATCTTCTCCATATTGATAAAAATTGTTCATTTGAGTGATCCTTCAAATAAGCCGAAATCTTTGCCATTTCAGCGAGATGCGAGACCTTCACTCTCCAGTCCTCTATTGTAGGTAAAACTTGACTCTTCCAGTTTTGAGCTATCAGCAAACGGGCAGCAGTTAAACAATACAGCATCAAGTTCGTTTCTTTTACATCCAAATTATGTGTGATACCTAGGAGAAACAACTGAGGCAGAAAAAAAATTCTTCTTTTAAAAACTTGTTGTAAATTCCACCATAATTTTATCCAGAAGGCTTTAATAACCTTGCAAGTCCACCACATGTGAAAAAAAGTTGCATCTTGTTGTCCACACCTCCAGCACTTGGACTCATAATTCTCATAAATGCGAGACATAGTTGCAGGATCCATGTGCCATCTGTAAAACATCTTATAA